AGCTAGGATAAACATCCAAATATTTCTTGAGTATCTGGAGTAGCTGCATGCACCACCTCTGTGAGGAGTCTGGTCCAGGCCTTGGGGGCTCGGACAGTAAAGAAATGCTTCTTTACCTTCCTCCCTTTAATGCAGCAGATGGCTATGTGCTTTGCAACTTTTGACAGAGAAGAACAACACCTGTGCAGAATGTTCCTGGATCATATCAGAGCAAACTTTGGTGATCCTGGTGAACTGCTGGGAGGCTTCTTGCCTTTTAGTGATGAAGCTGATTTACATGCTTCTGTTTTGTAGAGGGGGAAGGTATACACTGCAGATCATAGCTTGGGGAATATATTTTCAATTCATAGTAAAAATATACATTCCCTTCTAACACAGTTTCTTCTGAAGACTACACACAAGAGCCTCAAGCAGCATGAACCAGACACCAGGAAGGCAACAACCTGCAATTCCCCTGTAGGTACGAAGAAGAGTTGTAGTAGGGATGATTTGGAAGGTGACACCAGGAAGTTCCAGGTGCTGGAGGAATTTTGCAATAGCTCCAGGTACACAGTGCACCTCAGAGCTGTAAGCAGCAACACTGAGGACATGAGACTTCAAATAAAGATCCAAGTTCTTGCTGTCCAAATGGTGTCCCTTGCTTTATTATTGCACAGAGCGCTGTGCATGAAAAAATTACTACAGCTAAAGTATGCAATTCAATTCTGATCTGGAACCGAGATGAACAAAGGCAACAATGCTGATTTAAAACCTTTTTTTTAGAAAACACACTTAAAAAATTGTGAGGTGTGCTGATCAGAAAAGTTGGGATATTTAAACATGCAAGTAGGCAAAGTCACAGACATAAGTGAAAAACTCACTGCCAATTAATGAAATTAAAAAGTGTTGGCAAATGCACATTAGCTACTGTAATCTTTAAAAAGGGGCTCCATCTAAATAGTTGCTTGAAACAAAAAACATACCTGTACTTCCTTGTTACTAAATCAGAGTTAAATCTATTGACAAAACCAATGTTTGCCTGCAGTCATCAAGTCAATTAATAAAACCACAGTTACATCATACATTCTGTTCTACTTCACGCAGCAGAAGCAAAATTACTAGCTCATTTATATTTGGATCTTTTGTTTTGCTGCTGGTGGCAGGTGATGTATAATTAAAGCATGCAAACCGATTTTCAGATATCAAGTTTTGTTTGCAATGCTGGCACAAAATTCTGCATTTGATTTGTGAACTAGGAACATTTTCTATAAAAACTACAGAGACAATAAACATGGAGCATCAGGGTGCATATCTGCGTACAATCTGCTATTTTTAGGTCACTTTTTCTGACACTTCACATCAACACTGACAATACACTGGACCTTCCTCCATGCAGGAACTATTACCTGAACAATGGTGAATCCTGATCTGAGAATTATTTCTTCTATTTCTTCTTCTTTGTCAATGACGTCAGGTTTGATGAGGGCCAGAGTTCTCTCTACGTAAATCTGAGGTTCGGGCATTAACATCTGCATCTCTTCTCGTCTCTTACTGCAAAGAGAGTGTGTAATCATAGTTGGGGCTTGTCTACACAGGGTGTAAATTAAGGTGTCATCAGCAACTCTCACTAACTCTGGGCAGATATAACGACCACCAAGGGGCAAGTAGTTTAGTTTACTTTCAAAGAGTGTCCAAACAAGGATTTAGTACAGAGCTGCCAGCATGCTACAAATGTATGCCCTAGCTTATTATACAGTAAGTTCCCTGCGCAGATAAGCCCTTAATATAAGCCCTTTAACTTAGCTGAACCTGCAGTTCTTTACATACCAATATCACAACCTGCTTTGACACATTGCTCAGAGAATATGAGAGGGAGCGAGTGCTGCCATCACACACAGCAAGGGCCAGACACAAAAATCTTCTGAAAGAAATATCAGACAGTGCTATCCCATGGACGAAAAGACACGGGCTCATTGCAGCCCTTCCAGATAAGCTGGGAAAATTTTGGAGGACTATAATAATGCACATGCGTGCTAAGGGGCAATGGCAGAAGGCAAAATCAAGCCCTAAAACATGAATGCCCCTGCCACATGGTACATGTATCACACAATCACGCAATCAATTTAGTAGTCGAAATGTATTGCATGGTTGTGCAATATATGTACAAGCATAGCAGAGCCCACACGGGCAAAGTCATTATCATGTGATTAAAAATGATTATTGAGCTATAAAAAAAATTTTTAAAAGCCTACCAGCTATAAAGTTAGTGCTTGAAAACACGTAACAACTCCAGAGCTGGTTTCTATCTAGCTGTAACTTAACTGTGTAGCAAAGCTCTAACACAATCTTCCTTAATGGGGGTCATCTTACTGGTTTTAGAGCTAAAACAATGCAAAATAAAATTGGGCTCAACTCTGCAAAATAAATTCAGGCTCATAATATTTGGTTGGCAACTGGTCCAGGGGAAATCAGAGAAGCAGCGCGCACCCTCGTCTAAAGAACAAGGCTGAGTGCCGAGCAGCACGAGGGACATGGTGAAGTCCGAGGCCGCGTCCAGATGAGCGCGGCGGTGAGGCATATTTGCTGCACTGTCATGCCCCGCACGTTCAGTTGTTCTCGGCACTACAGGGGAGGAGGGTAGGGGTGGGATTTTTGTTTTGACCTCCACGCCAGAAATAAAACCCGGAGCAGCGCACGCAGGTCTGCTCAAACCCGGTCCTCCCCACCCCGGGGTGCCTGCGGAGCCACAGACCCGCGCTGGTGGGGTGGGTTTTTGCTGAGCCAGGCAGGGCCAGGATGAATTAAAATAATGACTATATTAAATTGATACACGATTCATTAATAATACTTTAATTAATAGTTTTAATTAAGCACAAAGGAAAACCCCGCTCCCGCCCCACGCACCTGCCCTCAGCAGCGCCCCGCGGTTGCTAAGCAACGTGATACCGGCTGGAGGCCCCGCCCCCTACGGCGGCCGGCGCGGGACGTTCCAAGCCGCCCCCCCCCCCCCCCCCCCCCCC